TATGTCGCTGGAAAATTGACCTTTGATTCCTCCTCTCTTTTAAAAATAACAACATTTTTTGCATTTGTTTGGTTTGCTCTCTTTCACCATCTGCATCAGCTAGCAATTGTACAAAAGGAAAATGTTGCAGGTGTGCCCCCCAGTTGAGTAAGGGGGGAACCAGGCACCTGATTAGAGTGGTTACTACCTATTCCTATTCTCAAAGGGAGAATAAGGGACTTGCGTGCCTTCCCAGGGGTCACCAACTAGAGGATGCTCCTTTTGTTACCAAGTCTGTGTGTGTTATGCTTACACGCATGTCTACACATATAACCACAGTAACAACATATTTGGAGTTTTTATATTGAAATTTGTGGCTCGTCATAAGGAGGTTGCATTGTATACTTACTTACCTGAATTACCTGGAGGAATTAGCAAAAACCACCGAGTCCCAATTTGGATTCAAATGAAAGAACATCCATTGTTTCAAGTGCCCAAATGGCATTAAATAATAAAATAGCTATGCTGTTTGTATTGTCAAGATGCAATTGTTAAGATATAGAGGAGTAAGACAGCATAAAATTCATATAGCAGCTGCCCAAATCCCTGCTGCCTGGACCCAGTGCTTTTTTTGGCGGGGAGAGTACACATACCTCTAAACATTTTGTGAATCAAAGTTTGGCTTCATCGAGGGCAGTATTTCAATATGAGTAGGAAAATTGTGAGTACCCCTAAACATTTTTTTTTGGGGGGGGAGAGCACTGCCTGGACCAATAGTGTTTGCTTAACTAGTTTCTATGACAGAGTCAGGGAGATCTTAGTATTGCTGCATAAACAGCAGAGGTTGGTGCTAGGGATCCGCTAGGCTGAAATGGAAGTCTAGGCACACCAGAGGAATGTGGGAATGCAAACGACACAAGTTTGTGCCAAGAGAAGACAGGAAGTCAGTGAGATTTAGGAAATGTAGGACACAGTGATTAATCCCTGCCTTGAAGCAGCTTGAAGCACTCCTCCTTGGATGTAAGTCACTATTGAAAACAATGGAGGGCTCACCCAGACTTACTCTTGTTCCACCGCTTTCCCCTGGAAAACCCACTCTTTAGTGCTGACTTGGAGCAAACGACCATTGGTCCTAGAGAGTGGGGTTTCCCTGGGAAAGCAATGGGAGAAAAATTGGATGGGATAGAGAACTTTTAAAAGCAGACAAATACTGTCAGTGAGGACAGCCAGTGTAGCGCTAGACTCATTTCCGCTGTCATGCTCGCAAAGAGTTTGTGCCCACTGCAGTCACCTGTAGAGCGAAATTAAGGGACTCCAGCAATATAGAAATCTTCTTGGCATGGCAGGTGAACCATGCAGGAACCTCATCAATACTTCCTTTGGAAATGGAAATTAAGGGACAAGTCACTAAACACCTTGGCTCTGCATATTGATCAGCTGTGGAGGAGCATAAGCTCACATAATACCCAACAAAGTAATATTTTGGTTGCCTACATAGTTGGGGAAAAGTTCTGTTTTCAAAAGGCCAGCTTCTGCTTTCACATACACCTATGTGCACATCCTTTCAAGGTTACAAAGGTACAGCAGAAGAGACTGTGCCCTCAATTTTTGCACTGGCTCCATGCCATCACCTTTTCTCTTGCTGTGCGTCTATGTCTGACTCTCTTATTAATGGCGTTTTACAGACAGACTTCTATTTTTGACTCTTCATTCAACTGGGGAACAACATGCAAACAGAAGGCAAGTTGTTGTAGACAACAGAGACACCCAGCACAGCATATTGTGGGATCATGCAAATGGTATATGTTATATTGGTTTCTGCAAACTGTAGTTCTCTGGCCACTGCCCTCTGAGCCTGTTGAAAAGGGCAAATTCAACAAGACATCTTGAGTTTCTCCCGTTCCTTGATGAATTAGAATTTGATGAATTAGAATAATGATTTCATCACATGTTGCTTTTATCCATTATGCTGTCATAAATGCAGAAAGCTATTAAGCACATTGATAATCAGAGGCATGACCTAAACAGCATTCAATCATCTTTGGCAGGTCCCAAAACCTATGCATGCCATCTGATAAAAGGATATTTGCAACCATTAGTGCTCCATTAACACAGCGTATGTTTGAGCAATTTCACAATTTTTTTACGTGTGGGGCACCATGACCAACCCCGTACCAGTTTTACTCACAAGGTACAGTATCAGTGCACCTGCTCATGGCACCACAGAGTGAGTCCTCACTGCTGATGTGGAATAGAAAAATTCAATCACTTTTCACAGCATGGGGTGGGGAAAGTTGCATGCTAAAATTTCTTTGCTATATAAAATGTGACAGGTGCATTATCCTTCTCCCATGCTAAGGGCTGTAGCCAACATGAGTCCTACTCTAGACAGATCCACTGAAATTAATGTATGTGGGGAACGGGTTTATTAATTTCAGTGGGACTACTCTTGAGTAGAACATAGTTGGCTATAACCCTAAACCTGGCAAGCTGAAGCCCAGAGCAGTGCCATTCGCTGTACCACCCAAGGGTGCATGTTGCCATCAGCCCATAACCATGAATCTTACAAATCAAATCTGGAAAGCAATAAACTAACAGTGGAGAGGCAATCCAGCAATATACACAAGACAAGTGATATTGCTTCCTTCCATCAGAGGGAAAGTTTACTTAACTGTGCAAGATGAACTACCCACTTCAGTATGTCATTTAGTATTTATAGAAATTGAGGGATATGGCGATTTATTTCTTTGATGTTTATTTTCTTCCCCCATTCACAATAATTAGTAATAAAAAGTATTTGAGATCCAGCTTTTTAATTTAAAAAAACAACAACTTTAGTAATGAATTTTGTGAAGTCAGATGGTGATTGGGCTGTCTTAAAAACCAGAGAAGAGATAAAACCTTTCCTGCTGAATGATTGTTTGTTCTTACAATCTCCCACTGAGGATGCAGATAGGATGTTTGCAGTGTATGCAAACAAAAAGCCCTGTAAATAGGGTATCTCATCTGGGTATGTCATCTGAGGTTGGCCGGATGATATCGTGCAGTTACAGTTTACCTCATATACCAATTAACACGAGATAAAAATGTTTAAATGGTTATAACTGAAAAGCAAGTACTCAGATTTGTAAGCCAATTTTTTGAGGACTCAAGAAAATATATTGTACTTGGCTATACCTTGGTTACGTTGTGTAGCAAAGTACTGTTGACATGGTTTTAAAGGGGGCAATGATATTGTTACAGGCCACCCCAATCTCTGCTAAGCGGTAGCAATATTGCAGTGGTGTTGGCACTTAACTAGGATTTGTGGTCTTTTGGAATGAGACACAGCGGAGACTAGTATCTTTAAGGAATATAGTTTACTTTACACATATTTACAACCTGAGTTTCGATGGAGGAAGTGCAAAACATTACTCCCCAAGAGTGTCTCTCGTGGCTCCTCTCATGGCTTCAGCACGCTTGGGGCCAAAGCAGCAGCTAGTCATGTCCCCTGATATTTCAGAGCAGTATCTCCCAGGCAGTTCTGGCCCCTCCTTTCTCCTTCCCAAAAACCCTTGCTCAAAACCTCAGTTTAAAAGGACACCTTTTTTCCTGTGGTCCCCACCCTGCGTTACCCTGGTAACTTCCCCCTCCATACTGGCATTGTCTTCTCCCTGGCTGATGGCTCCCACTATCAAACAAACCTTTGGTAGATTTACCAAACTAAAAATGCACGCCAATTAATAAATTTTAGAATGGGCAAGATTAGATGTGGATGCACAAAGCATTTTAAAAATCAAGACTCCTTGTGCTCTGCTCCCCCTTTCTTTCCACCCAGGGTGGCCCTGCCCTCTGCTTGCCCCTCAGAGCTGGTGCAACACGGGGGGTTAGGCCTCAGCAGCCACAGCCTCTCGTCCTCCTCGTCTGCTCTCCAGCAGCTGCTACAAGCTGCCCAAGGGAGGAGGCTGGCAGCAACGGCCATGGAGAGGAAATGGGATGCTCCCTCACAGCTGCCACCGCTGCTGTCACTTGGGACAAGCACCAGCTCATCCTTCTCCCTGAGTTTGGCACTGACAAGGGAAACAGGGACGTTCTGGGATCAAATCAGAAGCCAGGATGGCTTTCACAATTCCAGGGCTGTCCCTGGACACTTGGAGAGCATGCAGTTCTCTCCCACGATGGTCCTTGTGGGGAATGAGATTTGGGTACAATGACCACCGAGGAGGAGGCCATATTTCTCAACACAAAAACTTGAGTAGGTAACAGGTGGGCAAAGTCTGGTAAAGGGGAGTTCTTGTTCCGCCTAATGCAGATGTCAGTTAATTAGAGGAGAAGGTTATATCATTAGCGGCCAAATCGATACAAAAAAGATTAAGAGCTTTGGACAGCAAGCTCCTGTGCTTTCCAGTACAGCACCTGGGGCTGTATTTAGCTAAAACTCAATATACATTAGCAACACAATCAATGTAGAGTTGCACTGGGATGTCTTCTTGAAATACTTTAATTGGACTCTTTCTAGAATTATCAATGCTAAACAAGACGTCAGCTTTAAGCAGAATCGCTCTCCATATATGATGGACAGCCCAGGGCCTAGGAAGCCACATTCTCTTTAATTATAGCTTTCCTTATTTTCTGATGCATATTAATAGTGATTTCCCCCTCCCCCCCAAAAAATTAACTGGCCTTGAAAGATTTGACAAGTGTTATTGGCAAGAAAGTGGAGGCACTCAGAACTATTCCTGATGGCCAATTCTGCCACCTTCGTTGCCAAATTAATGGGTCAGCCCCCTCTTCCCAGACCTAAAATTCTTCTGAACAGATAAATCACCAGCAATCGGACCAAATGACTGCCAACCTTTTATCGTGGATTTATGTTCCGAAAAGAACACAAATCAAACTGTGTTGAACCTGCTTGAAGTCATCAGGTCAATAAGCAGAAAATGCCCAATCAATAACATCCATGATTGGCCGATATCTGACATTGCAATATTACATGAAACTGCACAAATGGCGCTAATAACACAATGCTTTCTCTAAAATGTTTTCCGTCATGTTTATTCAATACAGAAGTGCATAGCATAAGCTTATCTAATTCTGTCATCTGCACTGTGCTTTTTAACTTGTTCATAAATGAGCGGGAGCTAGGGGTAAGCAGTGCGGTAGCCAAATTTGCTGATGATGCTAAGTTGTTCAGGGTGATTTTTGTTATGCTATAACCTCTGGTCCAAAACTAGACTTGCCACTTAAATTTATTTATTTTTACTGTACTTATATCACTAGCCTGATCCAGAGACATATAGCAGGTTAAGCTTCTCTGACTACATCCGCATGTTGGGCTGTTGTTAAAGGCAGAGGAGGATTTTAATGTTGTTGTTGCTCTAAACAACTCTTCCTAAAGTTAAGGTTTGGAGAGCATTCCTATTTTATACAATTACTTGGTCCAGTAAAGGATATTCAATATATTCTATAGAGCCATCATTCTATAGGACAGCCTCACTAGTTTACTATTTAAAAAGAACTGAAGGAGAGAAAAGATGAAAATAACGGTGATGAAATCACTCTATTATAATGTTGTGAGAGTACAGAACAATGCGGACTTCTAAGGGCCATGACTTTGTGGTTTCCAGACATTTCAGCTTTTGGCTAAACAATTAAGTAAATGAGATCCTTTGACAGAACACCACCCCTCTTCCTGGCCATTATCATTTGGCAGCTTCCAGTAGGCCCTGTGGTAAAGGTGTGTCTTCTTCAGAGCAATTTTCAAGAAGGCAGTAGCTTTTTACAGACTTGCTCTGGAAGGATGTTCTTTGCTCACCTAAAAATGAGAGAAAGAGAGAGAGAGAGTTTAGAACGAGAAGAAAGTTAAGCAGACTGCATGCAGACCCCACCAAGGATCAGGGTGAGACTAACATCTCAAGGTAGCAAATGTTGGGACATTTATTTATTTTTTTGCTGTTGTTCAGAGTTTGCTGTCCCTGCTGAGAGGCTTCCTGGAGTGGTAATTCCGACCTTTGCATTTGATTTCTGAGTTGAGGTGAAGAGGTGATATGGGGCCACAGACGTTCAGAAAGGGAAATTACCTTAGCAACATGGAATACAGTGCCGGGAAGAAAAAAACATAGCTACACGGGCATAGGGAATGTCACTAGCGAGACTATTCTACTTCACTGAACAATTCCACTTAGACAGTGATGTGTGTGTGTGCAGTTAAATTTTCTTGAATTAACCAATATATCACCAGTGTAGGTCTGGGATCCCCATGAACCTTCAACCTGTGGGGCTGTCTTAGCATTCAAGCGGTTGCAAGCTGCAGCTAGTTTGGACAATGAAGCCCTGCTCTTCTCAACATTATATTATGGGAAATAGCTTACAAAAATGTGTATATCTGGAGAAATTCATACTAAAATGCTGGTGAATATTCATGAGGACCTGATGAAGAAATGTGGTGAACTGAACTTAAAAATAGGAAACTGAGAGAAACCAGTACTGGCAGATTCGCCCATTCTCTTTCAAAGTTTCACTGAACTCAGCTTCATTAGGCTGGTGGTGTCCAGCAGAACAAGGATGCTATGCAGCAGGCTGCTTGTACAGTGTTATTCAAGAAAAATATAATTGTGCAGCTAGCACATTACAGCATAGTCCGGAAATAAGCTGGCATTTACTTAGCACACAGAAGGGCTTTATTACAGTGTATGCTGGAAGATATTGCTCGATTAACCCTGTCTCCTTTGCTCTAACCTCTAAAATTACACTCTCAGAAATTGCAACGCAAAAACCAGCAGCTCCAAATGCCCTCGTGACAGGCCTGTATGACCCAGCACAGGTTGCCTGTTACTGAATAACACTCTGGTCTGGTTTGCACATTTCTTTAAAGCGTAGCTAAATTAAACTATGCTCTGTGCAGTGTACCAATGTTCACTGCTGAAGCTGTGAGCGCTTCCTCCCTCATCCCCACCAGTGGCGTAGGAAGAGGGGGCGGGTCCCCCCGGGCGCCACTCTGGGAGGGGTGACAAGATGGCCCCTGCCTCCCCCCAGCTGTAGAGCAGCCAAGGGGGCCTGCAGTCCATATGGGCGCCGCTTGTGCGGCGTTCGTATGGGATGGTGCTCACGTGGCAGCCTGTACCGTCGCCATGCACGAGCGTCAGCCCGTATGGACTGCGCATGTGCAGCATCCTGTTCAGTCACTGCACATGTGCAGTCCATACGGGATGCCACACATGCGCAGTTTGTACAGGCTGTGCCGCCCCGGGTGCCGGAGAGGGTTCCTCTGCCACTGATCCCCACCACTCCTGCTGCTGCTGCTGCTGCACTGTTGGAAGACAAGCCATGGTCTGGTTTAGCATTACCTCTGAGCCAAGGTTCAGGGTTTGTTTCGCCCCATCCCAACAAACCACAAATGATAAACACAGTTTGTTCTTTTCTGCCTCTATACCCCACATTTCAGTCCAGCAGACTCATCAGGGCCTTACAGTGAAAACAAGATACTATAAAATAAATTTTAAAGCAATGTTTTCTCATACTAATTTCTTTATTTGTTTGCTTGCTTCTAAAGGATAGGTGTCTTTGCAGCGACTTACCAATTCCCCTGCTTAAACCAACCAGTCCAGCACAGTTTAACAGACAAAGAAGAGAAGCAGTGGCATTTCTCCGGCTGCTTTCATCCCATGTCATACATGCTGTATGCATACCCTGAACTTGACAAAGTGTTCCCCCCTGTACAGTAACTCATCTGACTCCAATGTAGTGCTCCCTGAAATGGAAGAGTTACACATTACCTTTCCAGTTTAATTAAATGTTCCCGGGATAAATCTCGTGTTTATACATGCTTGCAATGTGCTTCTACTACTCCTGACTGCTCCATTTATAAACTGACTGGATGCAGTCCAATCATCTCCAGTTAATGTACCTGTCACTCACTGAAAGCTAAGACTCCTGGGAGGTTTGCTGTCCGAGTCCTTTTATTTGCTACAGTTATTAACTGTTATGTCTCTGAAACTGAGTTATTTATATTCATTAGATATCTGTACACACACACACACACACACACACACACACACCTACCTTTTGAGCCATTATCTTTTACCAGAATGGAGGACTGCAGAAGTCCAACATTGCAAGCGTCTACTTTGAAAATATTGAGAGTGCTAGTTACATAGAAACGGCAGTGTGTGGGATGTGGAAATCTCCAGGGTTGGTTCCAAGGCCGGCTGGAAACAAGAAACTGATCGACACGGAGCTATGATTCAAGGTCAACTGTATTTTTAATACCATTTCTTTAAAATATTTATATCCTGCCTCTTGAATAAAACCAATTCACAAGTCAGATTTCAACATAAAACACGTGTGTGTGTGTGTGTGTGTGTCGGTACTGTATATAAAACAGCAGCAAGGAACATAGCTCAATCAGTAGAGCACAAGACTCTTAATCTCAGGGTCCTGGGTTTGAGCCCCATGTTGGGCAAAAGATTCCTGCAGTGCAGGGGGTTGGATTAGATGACCCTTGTGGTCCCTTCCAACTCTACAGTTTTACGCTTCTAAGATCAGCAGCATCAACATGCTAATAACTGAGGAAAACAGCAGCAGATTCTGCTTAAAGCTGTGGGAAACAGTGTAGGTGGGGCATCCCTTTCTAGTTCATAGAGGTGTGGGGCAGGAGATGGAATACTTAGCACCACTACAAACATATAAAACTTTACTTCCCCTATAAATCCTCACTTCTAAGTGCCATGCTTTCTCCTAGGGTCCTGTGCATTCTAAGGACTCCTCCTGTCTAGGCTTCCAGCTTCACGCAAAAGACATTACATTGCAGAGGGTTAGGATCTCCTGTGATCCTTCTGTGATCCTATGACACGGACTCTTGGTTCAGGAAATTCTGAAAGTATTATTTAGGAAATTAGCACACTTCATTGTCTTGGAATACAGGCTGCAAGGCTCAAAAGGTACACCAGTGGAAACTTGGCTAGGCAAAGCAAATGTGTTGCCTCCACACCTGACACACGTGCCCTGGCTCAACTTTTAAAGGGGTAGGGTTGGTCTTTTGTGTGGTTCTTGTTCAAGGTAAGAAGACAGTGCTTCCAAGGAAGCACTTCTACAAGGAGACCGGATCTGTTCGTGCCTGTGCTGATGGTGGCATGTCATGTGGACTTACATTCCAGTCCATACAGTTAGGGCGATTGCAGGAAGGCCTTCAATTGCCTGTGAAAGCACCCATCTTTGCTGCTCGCCTGAGCTCCAAAGCATAAGGAGCTCATGCCACAAAACGGGTGCCGCAATGGAAACAGCCCTCCTCTGAACTCTGGCCAACCTAACTTCAACAGGCTTCAGGACATTCAGGAGGGTGGAGGGAACCATCTCAGTTCCACTTGCCGGCTAAGGGCTTTGCATATTCTTGTTGCACAAGTGCTGATGCCATTCCTGGTCAGCAGCAGTGAATCAGGGGATTCAGGGGAATCAGGGGACACTAAGGCCTCAGCAGATGTCTAACAAAGCTGATTCCTTGCAAACATAAATGAGACAGGAACATATCCACAGCCCACTCAGCAGCAACTTTCTAGTGAGGCAGATGCCTGACCACAATTCTGCCGCATGTTCCCGTAACTAGGCTGGGTATGAAGCAATAATAAGGAAGCCCATCGAAGCAGGGTGTGTGTGGTTTAGCAGAGAGCACACAGACACAGCAGCAACCACCAATTAGAACAACTATTTCTGCAGAGTTTTACAGGGTTTGCTTGAGAAAAATGATGCAGAAAGCCTGGATTCTTGACTTGGAGAAAGCCCAGCTCCTTGTATCTGTTCCAAGAAGTGGGGCCACTGAAAAATAACAAAGGGCCTGGGTCCGATTTGTTTTAGGGAAAGTGAATTTTGGAACACAGCAGTGATACAGATTGCCCTATAGGGACTGGGAGAGTAGTTCAAGGAGCAATGGGAGGAAGAGAATCATTTTGAAAGTGGATTGCAGTGCAGGAGGTTGCATGGCTCTACCTGCCCCTCCCTGTTTCTCCTACCCTGTTTTTGAAAATATTGCAGTAGTTCTACATTCTGGTCCTCAGATGCTTATCAGCAATTCTCTTATTTGCAACTGATGTAACTTCCCGCCTCTTCTGCATTTAAGCATCGTTGGCTCTAAGGGACTGTAATAATCACATTTTAACTACAGTCATGAAAAAGAGTGCTTGTTATTCTTTAGAAAATTGCACTTCTCACTGTAATTATGCATCAACAAAGCTTTTTAACTCCCATTGTCTGACCATACTAAAAGCAGCGTTGAAAATGAAGCCGTTCTTATGTTTCTTTTAATAATAACAGCACACTTAGGGTTCTTGGTTCTCCGTCCAAGTGCAAAGGAGGATGGCAGATTCTTAACTATTCTATCTAAAAGTAGATGTGTACATGTACTGCATTCACTTAACTGTAACTGCAGTGATGGCTGCTAGGGTCAAAGATCAGAAATTCATCCCAAACATCAATTCTGCATTTGAAATCCCGGTTATGTCTGGGAAAATCCGGACGTATGGCAGCCCTAATGGCTGCAGATATATATAGTCATGATCCTACCCCAACTTTCAGCCCAGTCTGTGGCGGAGAGAAGTCCAGAATCAGAGGCAGAGGCTGAAGCAGGAGAGTGGAAGGAGGGAGGCCAAAAGGCTGGTGAAGAGTCATGGGTGTTTCCCCCTCATGCTGCAACAAGCTCCTCTCCCCATAGTCTCCCAGAATCAAGAGAGGCATGAAGAGAGCAGAGAAGTTAGCTTCAAGCAGGCAAAGTCTCAGATTGCTTGGGGGAAAACTGAAGGCACTTTCTTTCACCTTTGGTGGACATGCCCAAAGATTAAGGCATTCTGGGAGATGATCTATAATGAAATGAAAAAGGTATTTAAATATATCTTCTTAAAGAAACCAGAGGCCTTTCTCCTGGGCATGGTGGGCCAATTGGTGCCAAAGAAGGATAGAGTTTTTTTCATGTATGCTACAACAGCAGCAAGAATACTCATCGCAAAGCACTGAAGAGTCGGTGGAAGAAGATTGGAAAAAATTCAAAGCTTATGTCAGGGAACTGCCATCGGAAGGAAGGGAGGTGAAAGGACTCAGACAGGTTGGAAGAGACTCAGCAGCGGAAGAGGGAACCAGCAAGGGGAGAGAAGCTGAACTGAGGGAGGGGAAAGGGCTCAGACAGGTTGGAAGAGACTCAGCAGCGGACGAGGAAACCAGCAGGGGAGAGAAGCTGAACTGAGGGAAAGGGAGCTGGGGGATGGCTCAGAGATACTTCCAGCGAAAACAGTGGTGAGGTTTCCGGACCTCCTGTTGGGACACCCACTCCTCGCCGGAAACTGTCACGCAGAGAGTCCAGAAGACGTGTTTCCGTTAAGGAGCTTTTATGTTGGAAGCGATTACGAAAGCAGCCACTGTCGGAATCTTCTAGTGACTAGAGGAGCCATGTCAGAGGGGCTCAGTCACAGACAGAGGTTTGTGGACTTGAACAAACTCTGAGGGAATACGATTTTACGCACAAGCAGCTCATCTTCCCATCACAGCATTCCGACAGTCTTTGAACGCAGCTTGTGCAGGAGAAGGCATAATGAGCAACCCAGCAGGAACCGGAGAAGCAGGGGCTGGAGCGGGTCCAAGCCTGGAAGAAAGGTACCGGGTGTTGGAGGTCCAGCTGGCGCTGCAGATGGCGAGGCTGGAGGAGAGGAGGGCTCAAGATGCAGACAAAAGGGAGAAAGCCACCCAGCTCGCCAGAAAGGTACCAGGATTGGTGCAGAAATTTGGGGGGGGAGCCCAAAGACTATCATAGCTTTCGGACAGAAATGCAATATGCCCTCAATCTGCAGTTTGATGATTTCCCTGATGAGGAATCACGAGTGGCTTTTGTGATTGGGCATCTTGAAAAGGGGGCGAGAGACTGGGTTAGACCCCTGATGGCAGCGCATAGTGACGTCCTAAAGGACACGATGAAGTTCTTTCGCGCCATGGATCTGATGTTTTCCAGCGATATTGAAAAGGGAGTGGTGCGCAGACAGTTAATGGCTTGCAAACAGGGGAGCCGATCTGTACGTGAGTACTGGACTGAGTTCACCATGCTGATACACAGATTGGGGTGGGACTTATCGGCGGAACCCATTCAAATGCTCTTTGAAGAAGGGCTTTCTTCGGCTGTGAAAGATGAACTTTCCCGGGCGCCCAGGGCGGAGTCTATGGACCAGCTGACCAAATCAGCGCTGGCCATAGGAGCGCGCCAGGAGGCGAGAGCATTGGAGAGGCGGGAAGGGAAAGGGGAACGTTGGAAGGAGTTCCGCATTCCAGACATTCCAGAGCCAACTTTCCCGCCGGCAGAGCCGATGGAAATCGGAACAGCGCGCGCGCGCAGTTTCAAAGCCCAGTGAGGGGGGAAAAAAGGAGGGAAAAGGCGCCCGGAAATGCTATCTCTGCCAACAGCCAGGGCACTTTGCCAGAGTCTGCCCCCAGAGGAAGGAATGGCAAGGGATGGTGGGAGCTGTGGAGGGAAGAGAGGAAAAGATACCGGAGCAACTAAAAGCCAACGCCTGGCTGCCATTGTCGGGGCACAGCAGCCAGGCCAAAGAGCAGTGAAAGTGCCCACGCCAGAACCTCCTAAACCCGCCCTAGTGATAGAAGTGACACTAGAGCTGCCAAACGGACACCCTCTAAAGATAAAGGCGCTGTTGGACTCAGGCAGCTCCTGCAATTTCATGAGCAAAGAGTTTGCAGCTGAACACCAGATACAGACGCTCCTTTAAGCAACCCCTGCAGGTAACCACGATCGATGGCAGGGAGCTGTTGGGAGGAGAAGTCAGCTTGCAGACCGTCCCAATGATAATGAAGGTGGCAAGGCACACCGAACTCATTGCGTTTAATGTGGCCACCTTGGGAGGAGCTCCCATTATATTGGGGATGAGCTGGCTAGCGTTACATGATCCGCTGGTGGGCTGGCATCAAAGAGTGGTTTCTTTTGGGTCAGCACATTGCTTAGAACACTGCAAAGAGGGAAAGGTTTTGGCAGGGGCCCAAGCCACCCTAGCAGGGACTGAAGTAACGGAGAACGTGAAGGTACCACGACAATACGCAGATCTCCGCGACGTCTTCAGCGAAAGGGAAGCTGACCAACTACCACCGCATAGAGCCTTTGACTGTCAAATCAATTTGCTCCCTGGGGCACAGCTCCCTGTGGGCAAGCTGTACGCCATGTCAGACAGAGAGATGCAGGAGCTAAGAGAGTTCATTGACAAGAACCTGAAGAGAGGGTTCATCAGAGAGTCCAGGGCGGTGGGGGGCAGCCCAGTGTTGTTTGTGGACAAAAAAAACACGACCAAGCCGAGACTGGTGTGTGACTTCAGGGCCTTAAATGCAGTGTCAGAACCAGTGGCCTTCCCGATGCCCAGGATTGACGACATTTTGACAAGGGTGCGGAAGGGAAAGATTTTCACCAAGCTGGATCTAAGGGGGGCGTACAACCTGAT